ATTTCCTTGATACGTTTCTGAACACCAGTATGAACACCAGCCATCACCGCAGCATTATCATATGCTTGCCCTCTACAGTTTTGAATATCAATTCCGTCTTTCTCTAATTTTTCCAAAATTATCATTGAAATATTCTCGGCGGTTTTACCTTTTGTTTCAATGAAATCGACAAATGATTCCACAACCTTCACCTTATCTCCATCGATCACAACATAGCGTAAAACTTGGCTCGTTTGATCCTTATGTGAAATATCAGGAGTGCTGTCGAATATCATGGAAAAGTACTTTGCTTCTTTTACTTGCTTGATGACTTTGCTTCTTACGTTTTCTCCCAAAATTTCTATAAACTCGTTCTGAATAGTAGGAGACAGATGTGGGTCAGGTGTTAGGTCAGACACGACAAGGATTAACTTGCTGCCGATACAAAGGGATGGATTAACGTCTCCAGTAGCTGCAGATATGGGTGATGAGCAGACCCAAAAGTGCCGCCCCCCAAAAGTGCCGCCCGGGTGTTGGTTATTAGTTGATTCCATTTCTCATTGTGTTTTATTTTGCATCTTTCTAGTAATTCGTTTTTGAGGTTTCTATGCAATACAGTGATGTGTGGGCTCCAGCCGTGTGTTTTTATAAATTCGTGTAGGTTGGTGAATCTGGTTTGGATGACTTTTTTTCGTGTGTTAGTTGTACAGATGGTAGTGTGCGATATGTTGTTTGTGGGATGTTGTTTTTCATGGCTGTTGTTATTTTTGTATACCAGGTTTCTAGGGCATTATTGATCTCGATTTTGTTGTGGAGTAATATTGCTCCGTCGGTGTCGAGGGTTGTTTTGAAACTTTCCCAGTTAGCTATATTAAATGAGTATCTTGGTGTCGAGGGAATTTGTATTAGAGAAGTGGCGGAAGTTGTTATTATGGGTATGTGGTCACTGGTCCTGGTAGGTCCAGGTTTTATGTGTATGTGAAAATGGTGGTGTCTGTTGGTTAGAATTATGTGGGGATTCCCCGAGTTTCCCGGTGTTATGAATGTTTGAAAGTCTGGGCCTAGGTGTGTAATGCTGCCTTGCTCGGTTATGTTGTGCAGTATTACTCCAGCAGGGTTTCTGTTGTGATGTCCAAGGGTTGTGTGTCGATCGATCAAATCGCCGAGGAAGTATGCTGGGCTGTTTCGTCTGATTAGTTTTAGGTCTTCTGTAGGGAATATTGGTCTTCTGAATGGTAGGTATGATGTTCCTACTGTTATTGGTTCTTTGGTGGTGTTTGTTTTACCTCCAGGAAGTTCCTTTGGAAGTTGTCAATTATTTTGCGTTGAATCGTTCGTTTAATTGCTATTGCTGTCCCGTCATGTAGTTCTTCGTTGATGTTTCTCTGGTAGACGTGATAGTTAAATATTTTTATTTTCTTTGTCTTTTCGTCCGTGTGCGCTGATGAGAATGATGTTTGGCTTTATTGTGTTGTATATGCTTGAGTTCTGTTTTCCTCGCCAGGGTCCAGGCAAGAACGATGTGTTGGCTCATCTTTAATGATTTGTTTTGTAAAGTTGTGGATCCTGAGAACTTGGTGCAGGTTGTTTGCTGGCTCGTGCATCTCCTGGCGAGTGTCTTTTTTTCCTTTAGTCCCGTTCTGATTTTCTTAAATTTAGTTACCTCTACCCTTTCAATTTTGCTATATTTGGTGTTTATTAGACCTGCTCTTATCAACGTTTCTATGTAGGCTTCTTCTACCCTGGCAACTTCGTAAGTGAATTTGACTGAGCCTTCCCTGAACTCCTGCAGAAGTCTGTCACTAATGACAAGTGGTGTGTTGCAAGGCATTGTCTAGGACTGATGATGTTTCTGTTTTGTAAATGATATAACATCCAATTTACTCTTCCATATAGATGTTTGTTGGTGATACTTGAGTTATTTAGGGTAATAAAATATCTAACAGAACTGAAACTGATGCTGAGTTTGTGTTGCAAAATGTATGTATGTGTGTGTACACCTGTGTATAGCGTACAGTACAGAGGTGGAAGTACTGTATCATCCCTACCTCACCCTTATCTCTGCTACAATCACTGTGCCTCGCCCTTATCTCTGCTACAATCACTGTAAATAATTACCCCCATTAAGATTAGCGCCAGCTTGAGTACTGCTGCAGTGGGGTATCATGTCATAAAGTCAGGTCTTTTTTATTAATATTATAATACAGTATCGGGTCTTCCATAGAAGTGGGAAAATCATAAACACTGGTGCTTATGTACAGTTGTGTATTTACATTTGATTTACAGCTGTAAAAATAAATAGGCTGGCCCCGTGATCTAGTACTGAAGAGATCCAGTGTGAGTCGTGCTAGAACTGAGGCAGGCTCCTTGTTAGGCGAGCTCGTACTCAAGGGGTTCAGTGGTAGATGTCTACTCTATGGGGTCCATCTCAAGACTAAGGGGCCCGGCGTTGCCACGCCTAGAGAGAGTAATTCCTACACTCGCCATTAGAGTGATCCATGAGTCAAGCTTCTCGAAGGTTCTCCAAGCAGAAAGTTGTCACCTCCGTGGAATGTCAAGCCGACCACCAGCCAGCAGTGTTTACATTACGTATTAAAAATAACCTGCGAGTGCGGTTAATCATTCATAAAGCGATTATTGCAATTTTTCGTTTTCGCCACACTCCTGCCATTAATCACACGTATGGCAATTGTTGCCATTTTTTGTTTTCGCCCCACTGCTGCCGTTAACCACATGTAAGGCAATTGTTGCCATTTTTTGTTTTCGCCCCTCTGCTGCCGTTAATCACATGTAAGGCAATTGTTGCCATTTTTCGTTTGCGCCTCACTGCTGCCATTAATCACATGTAGCGTGATTGCGGCAATTTTTCATTTTCGCCCCACTGCTACCGTTAATCACACTTAAGGCGATCGCTACTATTTTTTTGTTTTCGCTTCACTACTGCTGTTAATCACACGAAAGCCGATTATTGCCGTTTTTCGTTTTCATGCCACTGCTGCCGTTAATCACACGTAAGGCGATTGTTGCCATTTTCCGTTTTCGCCCCACCGCTGCCGTTTACCGAACGTAAGCCGATTCTTCCCGTTTTTGCCCCTCCACTGCCGTTAACCGAACGTAAACCGATTTTTCCCGTTTTCGCCTCACTGCTGCCATTAACCCTTTAAATCATCGCTTACAGAAGTGCTATACTTGATATCAACATATAGTGTGACACCACCTCCGTGTCGTGACGTGTTAACGCAGTGTATATTATAATTAGGAATGTTATGCAAATGTTCAATATCTTTAGTGAGTTTGGTCCTGCAGAACCCAAGCATATCAAATTTGTGGGCAATAAAAGATATACACTGATCTAAAAGGGTATCTAAGTGAAGAGGAATACTGCTGATGTTATGGCTAATTAAGGAGAAGGAAGGAGGGAGAAGAAGACTAGAACTAAACTCGGGAAAGTCGGGAAAGTAAAAGGTACAATTGGGGTTGGTGTAACCCAGTGAGTTGTGTAGAAAGGCATCAGGGTCCATGAGGAAGTATTGTGCCGACACCATGGGTGAAGGGGGTGTAACACATACGGTCTAGTACATCTGAGGGAACGACATCAACACCGTCAGTGTAGGGATATTGGTACTGATTAAAGGAACAGTTAAAACTCGAGATCACTTGGGTGTGAAAAAAGATCAGCGAAAGTTATAATAGTGGTGGGTAACGTGCTCACAAGTGCTACAACCAACAGAATTAAAATGACTGGTATTGTTGAGGGTGATTCCCAGTTTGAGTGGTCCAGTGGTTTGGGTGTTCGCTCCCCTCTGTAGTGAGTCGGATCTTTAACATGTTGGAATAAAAAATTGTCTGAGTTTCTGCAAAAAGAGTAGCGGGTTATTAAGGTCATTTGGCGTGGTTTCATTTCTCCACTAACTGACTCGTATAGGCCTCTGACGGGGGAGGGATACACCACAGCATTTTAAGACTAATAATATTACAGTCAGACCTCTCCTGAAACAGATAAGCTCTATAAGAAGTGTGCCCATATACCCATGATATACCGTACTGTGTATGTTTACTCCTGTGTACTGTACATGTTGGCCCTTCTCTCTTGCCTCACGTACACCAACCTTAGCCGATGCAGGTTTTGAAGGTTCCAAGTGTTCCCTGAAGAAGGCAGTGATGGGTAGGGAAACACCGGGTAACACTGAAGTCCATTTATTAACGGATAGGAGAAATGCAAGTGGTGACGTGCGTGTGCCATGCACAGCCCACAGAGTCAGTGCAGTGTTGCCACGTGATTACATATACAGTATAATGCTACTCGGCACAGTAGCTTAGATACATAACCTACAGGTTTTGCGGACTTTTTTGGGGGGGTGATGCACTTGATCCTGGTGCCTTAAGGAAACAACGAAGAAATTATATCTCAAAAGAGGAAGTCGTATGATTTTTTCCCCTTCATCACCCAGAGTTAAGCACTACTCAAGACCCTTTCAAGTTAATGGTGGAATGAATAGTGTTCTTCATACTCTTAAGCTCTTGAGCAAGACTTCCTGGAATCAGGTCTCGGGCATATTACCCATATGTTCAGGGTAGGGTTGGAAACTGCTTGGAGAGCATTCCCAGAGTCGAGGCGCCTCGCCCCTGATCGAAAAACGTTAGGAGATGCGACAAGCTTGCCACTCATCCTGACCCATGAAATCTACTTTCCCTCTGACATATTTTTCTCAGCTTTGCTGCTTATTAATTTACTTTCAGTATATACAAAGAATATTCAAGTTAATGAAATAGTTATGATAAAAAATATATAACATCAACTTAACCCCGTGTACTTTAGTGTTATCCATTATTTCCGGTTATCTGACTTTTTCTTTGACTTTTTTCCGGTTTCCTGGGATTTTTCTGTCGTTACTCACAAGTTATAATCTTGCCGCGGATATAATCTGCTGGATGATAAGCCTTTGCTTATGTGAGGAAATTTCTCGAGCCTGTGCTGTGCTCTATGGTGTATTTAACAGAAGGAAAATTATACAATCATATAGAAAGGTATTATTTATTAATTCAGTTTGGTCTTTTCTTGTTTGATGAACAATGTTTTTTTAATGAAAACACATTAATATGGCGTAGTTTTATATTCGATTTCCGAAAATTACTGACAATGGTAAAAAGATTTAGGGCTTTGAATAGAGGTAAGGCCATAAGAGGCTAGCCGCTTTGGTGTTTTCGGTGTTCAGTATGTTGTGGTGTTTTCGAAAGCTATTCGTAACCTTTTCCTCGGTTAGAAACATTAGGTGAAGTTTTCAATTATTTGTTTGGTGTTTCTCCGAAAAATAGATATTTTCGAAATTAAAATGTAAAACTATGTCAGTCTAATAGCAATATTGTACAGATAATTTTGACACAGATTGCCCTACTTAATGTTTGTACATTATATACGAGACTTAATAAAAACGAGCTTGTATATGTGCAACTCTCGAAGTCGTAAAACTGGGTAGTGTATAAACATGTACGGTATCTAAAATAACTCTTTTGCTAACAAAATCGTAATAAAGGTACAATAACTACTGCTTGTAAGAATAATAAAGGTAAAACTTATGAGTTAGTTCTTATACAGTATTTTGGCAAATACAAAAATAGTTTTTACATTAAACTAAATACACACACGTTACCATCTAACAAAAAGCTGCCTCATATATCTGGTACAGACAGTCACGTGATGTGAGCTATCAAGGAATCTAATTAGCATAAAAAGTAATGTAATATTTCATTCTTGGCGCAGTATGATCACTGTTGCATTATAGTCTGGCCTGGAAATGTACAATCTGTCGCGTACAATGATAAATATGATACAATTTTGTTTTGGTGAGCTCAAAATATATTAAGCAATATGTAAATTGATATTATTGCAAAAGATATATGTGTAACTATAAATAACATATCGTCAACATATGTACAGTATTTTGAAACGTACAAAGTTGTCGTTCTGTAGGTTGGCGATTTTTGACAATTTTCGTCTGGTAAATCTCCAGATTTATTTACCGAGAGAGAAATCTATATTGATATTGAAACGGTTTATTTAGCCAGAAAAGTAAAAACACAGTGGACAATAATAACAATATTAACCTGGCTGAGCCAATTGAGAGACCGTACACCTGACAAACACACCAGGACAGCACCATCAGATCCTTGTGAACAGCTCCGCCGGACTACCATAGGCTCCACCTTGTGACTAGGTTGAGTTGCACCATAGCTGCAGATCCACAACTTCAACACAGAATAAAATCAAGTCGGCTTAATTAGTTGGTCCACAAGACCAACATCCAGTCAGACCAGGCAATCTATGATTCAGCTATTGGATATAAGGATGGAGTGGGCTGAGACTTATGAAAGAGGAGCGTCCACATAGTAGGGGTCTTTTTCAGCCTCGACCACCATACACCCGCCATTCCGTCCCTCTTCTAGCAGCTTCATCAAGGCATTCGCCACCGTCTCCGCTCTGTAAAGTCACAAACCTGGTCAATTTATTGGAATTTCTCGCCCTTATGGATATATCCATATAGTTCTAGAATCTAGATGGAACTTTGTCTCCTATAAATAATTGAAGCAAAAATATTTCCTGCACAGTATAACAGTTCCTATTACCTGTAAATTATTTTTAATTTCTAGAGAATAAATGACGGAGAAGTAAGGTTGTGCCATGGAGTTCCTTTGTTAAACTATCTTTAGTGAGCTGACGGACGAAATTGAAAATGGCAAGGTTGATCAAGAAATGATCATTGGCTGCGTTAGTGTGCGATTTGTCATCATATCAGGCAACATCCAAACTGTCAGGAAGCTATTATAAATGCCGGTGGTACCGTAAAACTCTAGTGATAGCTAATAAAACGAAGTTATATGAAAATTAGAATAAAATTACTAAAATTATGTATATAATTATTAATTATTAGGACGGCTAAAAATTACAACTAAAGCTTGAAATGTTATACTTTTGTTATTGCTGCAGTTATTGTATGATTGACTGCAAACAAATCTCAATTGGGCGAGACAGTTGGCTGGTTACGTTAGTTAACTTGCGGAGCTAGAAATTCCAGATACTCACGACATGTCCTTGAGTGTGCCGGCGAACTTGCTTAAGGCTTGGGCTACTTCGGTGGAAAAAGCAGACTTGATGGAGTTGACGAGAAGGTCGGTCTTCACCAGACTAGGACACAGCGCCTGAACTTTGACACCACTGACCTTGAGGTGAAAGTCCGACTGTGGGAACACAAAAGATCCGTTTTGTAGACTATACATGGATGTGTTAAGCGGGCGCCATAATTGGGGGATATTTGAGCATAATAATTAGATTACTAGTAAACCGAGTTGAAATACTTTCTACAATAATAAATTTCAAGCATATGTTTTTGATTAGATTAAGAATAAAAACCTTAAGGCTAGACTTACCCCTAAATTCCTGGTGAGGCCGACAATGGCATGCTTGGTGGCACCATAGATGGGTCCAAAGGGCGCCGCCTTGAGACCCGTGATGCTGGAGATGTTGACTACCACACCTCCCTCGCCACCCTTGTTCACGCCTAATTTCTCCAGACCCAGCAGCGTCCCCCGCATGCACCCGCCCTGTACCGTGAAGAGCGTGGGTTAGTATCTCGAGGATTTCGAATTGTTATACATTTGTCGACATATGTGCAGCCATATGTGAGAGGAAGTGTTGGAAACAGGATTGTAGTGAGAGCATACCCGGGTAGCAATCCATTTACCCATCCGGGCTGGGGTTTTTATTAGTATATTTTCATTTTTATGTGTACACTTTTTTTTTACCCTTTTGGTACCTGTAAGAATTACAAGACAGTTCTACTGATGCATGATTATTGATATTTACGGTAAAGTTGCCTGTTTAGAAATAAAATTTAAGCACAGTAAATTAAAATATATTGCATCATCCACAAGGACAATAAAAAATTATGGAAAATAATTTGATAATAAATTATACGGTAAAGTTTCACATAATGAATGCACATCGATATTAATTTTTTTCCATGTTAAACTGAAATAAATGTAATTTTCATGAATATATGTCAAATTGTATAATAAATGTAAATAAAACAATCTTCTAATATTCTCACTTCTGCATTATGTATTCTGGATGATTTAAGTCAAACAAATCAAAACATTATACTTGTAATTATTATGAAAGAGTACAGTATAATATATGTTAAATATATTGCATGTGAAATAATTCCCATATATACCTCGGAAAAAATTAGAAAGGGAGACGGAGACAAATAAACAACTGTATAACGACACAACTTATACAATAAAGTATGTAATGGTTCGATCACAGCTGTCCGATCCGGCTCTTCAAGACACTTGTGGCGAGGAAATTGATATCATATTTCAATCTCATATTTAATAAGTTCATGTCATGCCGTTCATAATATATTTATGTATTCTTGGAAAGCGCTTATTGTAATAATTGTATTTGTATAAATTTTTCTCCATTTATTTATAAGCAATGGGAAAAAATCCTTGCCAAAATACCAAACTGTTCCAACGTTACCTCACAATTATTTCCTAACTTAAAATGATGCTCCAACACTCACGCACACTTGCATGGAAACATACGCACGCGCTCGTGAAGAAAGTCGATTTCAACGGGGTCCCTTGCCGTTTTTATTAATTATAAAAAATATTACATCAATTTGTGAAATCTCATACTGAAGGTATAGCTAATGCGGTAGCATGTGTATTGGATCGCTGTAGACCTTTCAACTGCCATTACGATTGTCATCTGAGTAGACTTAGCTTATTATATATTTCAAATGACGTTTCTTTCGATTATTGATTGTTTGCCCGCAAAAAAAAACCTTGTTTTTTAACTGGTTCACCACAGGATCGCATTGGAAAGTCTTTCATTTCATAGAAATGAATAAATAAAACATTTTATATAGATTTCTATTTCCAGTGCCTCACAGGAAATGTAAAATGAATAATTTCATTAAGTAAACTTAATAATACTGTCACTTATACAACTGCATTTACAGACAAGCATTGACACACACAGGCACACGCACACACACACACACACACTACAGGTAGCAGCGAACCGATGAGTCTGCTTAATCCCACAGCGAATTAAAACAGCAGTTTGTGTTGCTTGAAATCAGCGTCTTTAGAAAGAAGTCTGTTTTCCATCGGTTACATACAACTGGATTAATCACCCGAAAGGGATTAAACGTTTGAAGATATTAGTATAAATTAATGATAAACAGTCAACCTCATAAACAGCCTGCACACAGCTGTGCCCGATGCATGATGTTCTTTAACATACTTACCGATTTTTACTTCTGTTTAACTGTAAGCATAAATTCATATAGGTTGGCCCATTGTTCTATCCATTTTAAAATCAAATTAACAGTATACACCAGCAGAAAGGTATAATATAATACGAAACAACAAAGCCCAACCATTAATTAAGCAACGGGGAACTAAGTAACCTATCACTGTTACATTCATTCATAATTTTTACTACGTAGTATAGTAAACAAATAGCCTCGAGTTGCCAGCTGTCTCCAGCAGTGTTCGAAGAATCTTGAACGAGACTGTACATGAAAGCAATAAGAACTTAAAGACTATGTCAACACTCAACAGTGTCTGAAGACTACAGCACCAGCATGTTACAACAAGTATGCTGTACATGGCCTATGGTCAATAACCACTCAAATCTTTTTATGACAGCTTTAATTTTAATGTTATTACTACAAATAATAGAATAATTAATCATTATGTTTGGTAACTCCAGTACATTGGTGTTTTTTATATACCTGTATAACACGATTTAATGTTCCCCAAAAAACCGGGTTGAAAAAGAAAACAAACAGAAAACAGGTGGGTTGGACTTAATAAAAACACTCGTTTTTTTTTACAACTCTGGTTAGAAAGAGGAGAAAAAACATAAATGATGATCTCCTTGAAGAGCGATCCCGACCCTATGGTTACTGGCATTGCAGAATTCATAGTATGTAAAATTTATAATAAAAATACAATTTAAAATAATAAAACCAATAATAATGATAATAAAGAAATAAAACAAGAAAAAGATCAAAAGTGAGAAACAATATATGTATGTTGTGTTGTCAATAGTAAGAGAAACAATTGAGACCCTGCAATTGTGTGCAAATGAGGCAAAAAGGTCAGATCAACAGCCTGGGACTTGGTCAAAATTCTCGTGATGCCATATGGCAGCAGGGTCTACCATTAGACAACACATTATGCTTCCAATATCTTCCCAGGCGGTAGTACCTCCCTGTTTGATAGCTGCCTATTACCTACTACCTACTTTTGTAGATAACTATTAAGGCAGAGGCTGGGGCCGTGGGTCATTTTGGTGTATGACTATAGGTGACTGGGGTGGATATACTGGCTTAGGATGTGGATTGAAGTTCTTGAGGAGGTAAAAGGGAGGTTTTAAGAGCTAATTACAGGATGGAGGCGTATAAACTCTTGCGGGGAGAAAGGCAGGTTCTGTGAACTTACAAAAGGACGTCACATGTCTGTGTTTTAAGGTGAGCGTACACCACTAGAGTTGGGAGTGCGTAGTCAAGCGTCTCGGTGTCGTAGGGTATAACTTACCAGATTGACATTGATAGTCTTCTGCCAGTTCTGCTCGTTGCCGATACCCGCGTTGTTGATGAGGAGGTTGACCTTGCCAAACTTCTCCTCTGTGGTCTCCCACGCTCCTGCAGGGTGAGGGACGGACCTGACTTAATTGCTCCACACTTATAGTTTATTCCAGGCCCCTCACTCATTACAAAACAGAGAAAAATAATACTATACGTAGCGACAGTGGGTCTCTTATACCCGAAGACCAGTTAGGGACACTACGAATACAACACACAGTAAACTACGGCTTTTTTCGGCAAACAACGAGGCAGTGTGCCAGGAACTGCACTTGGCCGACTTTACTCATTCACAGCTGGTTTGACTAAGGATATCCTGTAATATCAGGACCGCCGCAAACCTATAACCGCCCACGCCCATAACACACACGATCCTACAGGCTGACACTTGTGTTCATAACTGATGCCAGACATAATAGCTTAACAGTTAGTCATGCCATGGCACTAACTTCACCCCATAATTTAATGTGACCATTCACAATGTAGAAAGAATGTCCATAGAATTTGAAAAATGCATATTGATTGGTTAAATAAATAAATCTGAATGACAAGGCCGAGTAAGTCCGTTTATGCTTGGGGCCTCAAGCATAAACTGACTCCGAGCCTTGAGGTATGGTGTGTGAGGAACAAAACAGTCGTGGTGTCGTGGCGGTATAGGAGAGCATGGCGTTCGTATTTAAGTATTAAATCCTCGGTAATGTGTGTGTGTGTGTGTATCGTCCTTCTCACGGCATTAACTAAGTGTAGGGATATGATATATATTCATATATTATGGCCTATGTCTTAATAAAGCAGAAACATGTTGACTATTCTCCTTAAGAGGGGGTCGAGTCAACGCATGCAAGAGGTTAACAAATCTCACTCGGCGATCTAATTCAGTATACTCAAATAGTCGGCAACGTGATAAGGTGGTAATGCACATTACTCAGTATTGGAAGAAGAAAAAAAAAAGAAAATATTAAATCTATTTTTTATTTAAATCGATTTTTTTCATCATTTATCGGTACATAAAAATAAAATATTTTCTCCATCTAAGTCTTATTGAAGGTTAAATGAAAGAAAATTTAGGTATCAAAGCTTTTTAGGATACAGGCATCCATGTAACGACATACTCGTATAACTGATAAATTAAACCACTTGTTTCCAGCCGAACAAGTGAAAAAAATATGGTTAAAATTGTCTCTGCTGACGACGTATATGTGAAACAAATGACGTATAATGAATTTTTTCCTACATTTGTTAACGATGTATACGAGAAATGACGTATATCAGGACAACATATCACAAGGACCCCTGTACTACATCTTAAATAGGTGTATAATATCCATTGTAGCTATGTTACTACAAAGAATCTCGGGATAAAAACAATAAATTTCAATTATTTGCAAAGAAAATTATTTTGCTTTAAATCGTGATTATTTTTCACTCGTTTAAATCGATTTAAATTGTGTTCAGAATTATATCAACCCTGGCATTACTCTATAATTGTTATCCTTCTAACACCTGCCAAATCTGATGGGAAAAAAAAACATTGATTTTTTGTTTACCGAGAGGTACGGTAACAGGAACCAGTTACAAATATTCCGTCAATCGTCTATATTTTATTAATAGCTTTGCAGAATTGTCTTCGTTAAAAATCTAAAGTGGTCTCGTTTTTTAACATTTTTGTGGAAAATTGAGGACAGACGTGCAGACAAACAAACGGAAAACAATGTGTTAAGTTTCCACCTGTAGGGAAATAAAACATACAGTCGAAAGTGGAGCCGGAATTAGTTGTCTTACCCTTAAAGTCCTCATCTTTGGTCACATCACAGTGTGCGAAAATGACGTTGTCAGCTCCGTGTTGATCCTGGAGCTCCTGAACCGTGGCCGACCCTGTTGCTGTGTCCACGTCAGCCACGCACACCTGCAACAAAACCCCAGGGTCAGTCACAGAGGGAAGAGGGCAATAGATGTGAAAGAAAAGGTAAAATATAGAAGATGGGATATAATAGAGGACGATGGAAAGAGGAAGACGACGCTGGGAGATGAAGGGGAAAAAAGGGATGAAATAGCGAGATATATTTTTTTATTATATGATATTTGAAAAACCTCACGAAAACATCACCCGTAAGAATAACTGTCGGGAGCACCGTCTTGATTACGTGTTTGTCTTAGGAAATAGTTCAGGAAGGAAGATCCGAGTACCTCCGACGTAACGTATTTGTTGTCATTGGGATCTGTGTGGTGGCTGCGGGCGGTGTTATGGAGGCGAGGGTGTGGGTGGTTGCCTGGTGGTTAGGAAGGAGGAGGGTGTGGGTGGTTGGCCGGGTGTTAGGAAGGAGGAGGGTGTGGGTGGTTGGCCGGGTGTTAGGAAGGAGGAGGAGTGTGTGTAGGTGGTTGCCTGGGGGTTAGGAAGGATGTTGGTGATGGCCGCAGGGGAGAGGGGGTAGGAGGAGGAGGAGGGGGGGTGGTAGCATTGGTGGTGGTCTTAGTGGGAAAGGCAGGTCATGACGGATAGAGTTGACTTTTATGACCAGTCACTTTGAGAACAGTGCACAACATGCACCATTGACGCTTCAGGCTTCTACGCCCTTGACTCTTCAGGCTTCTACTCCCTTAACTCATGAGATATAAAGGCATAAAGGCAAGCATGAACTTAGCATGCTTCCCTGTTGGGCGCTGTAAACGCTTCTGCGCTTCACCTTGCACAGGGTGTAAGGGGGTGTCCAATAAACTAGCCCCCTCGTGGGCAATCTAAGAAATCTAAAATCTGCGGGCTCTCTTATTTATGTCTTTATTTTACCTTGTCCTCTTTTTTGTGTGATTGAAAGGGGTAAGACGAACGTAAAGCAGTATTTAAAGTTGGTTATATAGTAATTCAGTTTTGTTTTTGTCTGAAAGATAAGACTTATAAAAAGTTAAAATGGCGTAAAGTTATCCTCTCTAGACAGTGTGATTAATTCAAGAAGTAATATAGACGGATAATGAAGAAACAAGGAGAAAATAAACTAATAAAAATGAACCAGGAAAGATCGTAATCAGTTTCAGTATCCTAGTACAGTACGCGCAAGTAAAAGGTTGTCCATCACACCACGTGGATAATCAATTTGTGTCGGCAGAGAAACCCCTTGATTGTTGTCCTGTCATGAACTGCTGAGGGAATAATATTTTAACCCCAAGAATAATACCCATTTATGATCTGCATTTTCTAAGTATTCGTTGTAAAGCTAGCACGTCCACACGAGCCGCCAAACGTGTCTCGTGTTACTATTCATCAGAAAACAAGTTTTTATGTACTCTACGCACGACAACACCACCAGCATCCTAATAATTTACTGTGGTGCCCTATGACGTAGATTAGCCCGAGTCATTAAAGTGTCAAGACATCCATGGAGAGTGGGCCGGTTGAGCGAAATAAAGTTTTCAATCCTCACACGGCTTATCTGTTGGCAAGTATTGAGTGTATTATCTACTGCAGTAACCCACTGAAAAGTAGTTTCATGTGTGAGCCGCATGGGGACTGTCTAGCTCATTTTGTCAGGTATGGGCTAAGTGTAAACTGTAGAAGAAACATTATTATGTGTTTGAAAGTGTTATACGTACTGGGTGAGAGTAAGTTTATTAATGGGAGTTCATCAGATACAAAGATAAACGTGACAGAAAGGTTTATTACCAGGAGCGGAGTTTACTCGTGGTAGACACTTAAAAGACCTTGCAAATGCAACAGGACTGTGGCAGACGTACGTTCAAGTGACTGCTGTTGTGGGAGATGACGTGATGCTGTAAATGGCAAAGATGCGGTGGAGTGTATAGGAAAGCCCTTGACGTCGAGAGCAAGTGCAAAATCACTAAGACACTATGCGAGTAAAGTTGATGTGTTTTCAGTGTTGTTTATTACGACTACAAAAATTAATTTGTCTCTGTTTTTCGAGGCATTTAATAATGTACGGTAGTGTTGTATCACGTTACCACATCACAGAAAATGGACGGTACATCGATGTGTTGCGTCACAACATCACTCGGGATGGACAGTACAGTATTGTATCACATCACCGCAATATCAGGCGTCCCAGAGAGTTGACGTTAGAATGAGAGGTGGCTGCAGTAGTCCCTGTTAATAATTATGAAGAAAGAGGACAGGTTGGCCGCCCCTCTCAACAGAGGCTCTCATCTAGTAACCAGGGTACCTGACCCTCCTCGCCGAAATCTGAGGACTAAATTAGCACCTTAGCTATAATGTGTATGACTTGACTCAGGTTTAAGAGTGTTTATCTTGTTACCGGTCTGCACGCTTTTCAACAATGTCACTAAGCTTGTTTTTCAGCGTCCAATATTCGTGAATGTAAATGCAGTAGTGTGGGTTACAACGCTACTCGTGTGGGTTCTACCTTAAATTTTACATTCATGACATGAGTGTTTCCGTTATGTTATGCTATGCTATGACAAACGAATCGCAAACTGCTATGTAATTTTACATTTGCTTAGCATTCTCATTCTCCTGTTGCAAAATTCTATGCGAGTCCCGTTCACTAAATTCTTATCGGAATTCTAAAGTTTGACAGAGTGGCATTGATGTCTAATGGTACCTTTTGATACATAAACTGGATCTTGGGAATGATAGAGACTTGGTTTTTATTTTGTCCTTTGTTATCTCTTACTCTTCTACACCCTATTCTCCCAGCCTGTTTATTATAGTTGTAAGCGCAAACGCCCACCCATTCACACATACACGACACACACAGACTGTAGGACGTACTAAAAATAAGATGGTTGATTTCCTGTTATTTTTTCTTTAACTAGAGCAATGTAAGTATAGTCACTTAAATTAATTCAGGTTAAGATACATTGTTAGGTTAGACCGTTAGACTAAGGTAAAGACAGGGTGAATTAGGCAAGGTTATGCTATGTTAGATTAGATTAGGTCTGATATTAGTTAATTTATAATAATCTTCCCAATCCCCATGGTCATCCGGATATTCGTTCTACTAAGTTCTATTTTTTTTTTGAGGGGGGAGGCTATATCCATGTAGTGTTCCTTTTTATAAACAACCCATGAAAATTACGAGAGAAAGTGGTACAGTATTTAGTACACTTACATGGAAGTTGCAGATTATAAGTGATTAGTTTCAGGTTCACAGGTGTTGACAATAGCCTTCGTCCTGATCGATGCAGATGTAAGATTATTGATAAGAAAAAAGAACACACGGCCTGTATTTGGTCTAATAATGTCCGAAACCATAAGTTTATAACGTCAACAAAAGCTCCTTATTTCTAACCTTGAAAAATAACAGAAAATAATAAAATTTAAATTGTTTAGAGATAATATTATTACCGCAGCATGGAGACTAATGGTTATTTGGGGGACTTAATAGCGCGGGTGATTTGGGTGAGGTGGGATACAAGAGTGGTTGTACTGTACCGAACCTCTTGAAGGAAGGTATGCAGCGAGAAGTGAACTTCGGCACCTGGTGTTACGTAATGGTCAACATCTGTGGATTTCATAGTACTATGAAACCTCAACAAATTATACTTAATGTGATATGCCTTTATTAGTTCCCCTGCCAACTTTAGATGGACATGTGGCGTCATTCTCGTCGCTGTCAGTGTAAATATATTGATTTATGTACACCTGTGTCTTCAGGACGAGTAACATGGTCTCTGCAATCTATTTTGAGTTCTTCGCATTTCTGTAGTTACTTACCCGGTATGCAGGATAGACAGACTACCTGAACACTTACTATAATTATAATGTAATAATAAACAGTATATATAAATCTCAAGAACTAGGAAAATTGTCGATCGTAATTGTATAAAAATTTTCGTAGCTTTAACTTTTATAATTTTTTATATAAACCAAATTTGTAGACGTGTTTGTTCTGCAGGATGTGAAGAACCACACACACACACACACACACACCAAATATCCGAAAATTCTTTGCTGTGATTTGATGTAGATACTGCATGCGTCAAATCCGGGTACAAACGCTGTGCTAGCCGCCAAATTGATGGATTTAGGTAAGAAAAACTAACCAAGGCATTATGATTTATGGCACGCATAATATGCTGAAATTATACGATATTACTACCAAGGACGGTTACTGCGTGCAGGGTCCTCCTCTCACTCCTCTACCCTGAGTTGCCAGTCAACTAGATTTTAATTCAGGTGTTATAGGCTAGGCATTAGGGGGGGGATGTTTGTCTTGTCAGTCCGTCTTTCTATCCGTCCGTCCGACTTTGGGGAAGGCTACTTATTTCGAGAAATTAACTTCAGTTCTCTCTATGAAAGATTCTAAAAAATAGCCTCCATACGCGCTCAATTCGGCCTGTCTGCCCGACTGCACAAACTGGTTTGCGCAGTCCAGTTTGTGTATGTGTGGGGCCAGTTTGAACTGAAGGCATAGCTCGCGAACTGAACTGAAGGCATGGCCTACCTAAAAACTGACAGTACAGGCCTTGTTTGTTGTTTCTGCTTCCATTGCAGTTGTGGCCTGACTGGCACGGTGGGAAATAGTCTGACGCGCTCCTTCTACTGTACAAGGTGGTGTGGACAGAGTTTATTAAAAGATATCGGGCAAACCCTTGCCCGTGGAAAATAAAATGCTGTGACTATTCCAACAGAAACTATTTATTCTGTCAAATCAATTCCTCTGGTCTATTTCCATGAAAGATTCTGAAACTTGGAAAAACTTTTGAAGGGGCAGGGTTTTAATAATTTCGAAACCTATTGTAATTTATGAGGGCAAACATGTTGTATAAACAAAATTCTTGAGGATGGTGCTAATACACAATGCATAAAGTAGTAATATGACTTGTCCTGGCAGGCGTGCCTGTCTCCTTGCCTCGCCTGTCAACTGAATATTTGGTAACTTGATTCCTCTGGGTGGTGTTGTTGCTGCTGTTGCATGAAATAAACGACCATTATTC